AAGTTAGCTCACTAACCCACTTGACCTTATGAGTAATGCATCAGTAATGTAGGTCATTCCAGTGAATGTGTGTGTGATTAGAAGTGATAAAGGCATTATAAACAGTCAAAGAGTGACTCATATGGGTGAAGGAAATCTGTATCTGTGTTCGTCCCTGCAGGTCTGAAGTAGTTTGTTTTCAGAGTTTTAGAATCAAAGTTATTCATATTGCTTCTCATGGCAGAAAGTGGCATTAGAATTGTGAGAGAGTCCTGGAAAAAATGATTGTCCTCTGTGAATGTTTTTGGCCAAAAAACATTTGAGAACCACGGCTGAGTTCACATTAACTCCAAGGACTCATGTCCAATTTACTAAAATAAATAAAATCCTTTGTGTCTTTTAGGCATAGCAGGTATATTACTCACATTACATGAGTTGAATCAACTGGTTAGTGAAAAAAACGCAAAGAACCTTGATGTCACTAATGTCACTAAGCAGAGGTGTTCCCTTTTATAGTGCAGGAGCTAGACCTTGTGATTCTACGTCATGAGACACATTTGCCGTCACTCTGCAACTTTGCCCGAAGACCAAGCTGAGGGACTAAATATCATGTTTATTGTTTTATTGTAGGTCTGTTAACTGGACAACAAAGGCTAAAGATAAAATTGCTTTTATATGGGTGATTCAACATTTTACTGGAGGAGTTTTACATTTTCCCTTTAATCCTTCATCTTCATGCAGCCTCCATCAGGTATAAGAAAAACAAACTTTGTTTAACTCAAGAGCACAAGTCATAACTACTCTTGTTCAGCCCATTTCCTTCTCTCTTAACAACATACAGGACAGTATTTGGTTTCACTGTTACTTCCCAATGTACTTTTGATGTCCATAATGTCCTGTAATATCCATGCAGGTTCAATTTCCCATTTGCACAGTTTGAGGTGAGGAGAGTAAAGTGAGTTTATGTGGGGTTATCTTTGACTCTATACCCCACTGCACTGCTGGCAAAAAGATTCAGCATGCGGCTTCCACTCAGTACAGAGGACCCTGTAAGAGAGAAAAAAAAGAAATTTGATTCTCTGTATCATCCAAACTGATCTTGACCTTGGTGCAACAGAACAGCAGACAGCACCAAAGCTTATCTCAATGCAAAATTCATGTCTTAACCTTGAAAAAAAAAAAAAGTTTCCTCAAACGCTGCTGCCCCCTCCCTGGCTTTATCTCTAAAAACACAAGTTCCAGCAGAGCGCAGGGGTAAACGGTGCAGAAATCCTTCCACGTGCAGTAGAGAATAATTTCTGGAATAAAATAAACACAAACAGACATGCGGTATCGAATTGAATAGGATATTGATGAGCTGTGGTGCACAGAATAAGCCTGCAGTCTTTATTGAAACCATCAGTCACCAAATTATGAGTCTAACCTTTGAGACTGCAACAGCATCATCAGGTCCTCATCATTCTCTCCAACCGCCAGCTCCAAGTTAGAGTGGAAACCTGTCTTTCACTTTGACTTCACACCCACACAGCATCAATGTGTGTTGTTCTGTTTGCATTTTATCCCAGCAGAATACGCGCAGTTGAATCTACCCGTTTCCTGTTTGGCTCCATATCTGTGAGCTGCAGACAACTGCTCATTAGATAGTGTTGTGGTGGCACACGCAGGAGAATGAGGTTTGCTAAAAAACTGTGATGAAGGCCGACTTCGTGCGGTTTGTGATGAGAGGTTCAGCACGAGTCTGTTTTTCCCCATTATCCTGAAGGGCTTCACAGCAGAGAGGATCCACTCGATACCATTGTTCATTTTACATCAGTAACTATGATACTGTCCTCGTTCAGCTCAAAAACTCTTATATAGTTGGAAATGTGTTTTTGTCACAACAATCTTTTTATTTACATATTCTGCATTTAGACATGAACTGTGGCCAGTTGAGCTCATAGGACTTGATAGTACAATCCCTTGTTTAATCAGCACTTGGTGATGGGTGGGGTAGGGGTAATTGCTTCACTGGGGTCTTCAGGGGGGCACCCTGCTTCACTGGTGTTTCGCAGAGAGCACACGATGGATCCTCTCCTAGCCACTGGTTTAGGTTCTTGGGTGAGAGAAGAACATTGTAGGTGGCTCTGAGGATGAAGCTGAGTCGGCTTCCTTCCATCTCCCAAAGATCCTTCCAAGTGAGCTTACGATGCTCTAGATTTTCCCAACTAGTCCATTGGCCCTGTTTGGACTGTGAGACTGCATTTGCGTATCTTGCTGCCTCTTCCTGCTGTCGAACCTCTGCAACCACCAGTTTTCTCCTCTGGGTTGATGTTGCCTTGTGCCATGTGGGTCAACTTGTTCCAAGTCCAAACTCCCCTCTTCCATGCTGCACCTGTCCTACAATGTCTCCATGTCTGAGAGCAGATTTTGTTTGCTGTATGGCCTCAGATGGGGTCCATTTCCTCCCAGTTGCCAGTCTGGGAGCAGCCGCTCGGATCACGTCATCATGAGACTCGGTCAGGGTCATGTTCAGCCTCACTTTGGTGCATTTATACTCCTCTGTGAGGCTAGAGACAGGCAGTTCCAGGGCCCCATGCCCATACAGGCCGATATTGCTGAGGCAACAAGGAAGACCAAGCCACCTCTTGATGTAAGAGCTGACTGTCCTCTCCAGCTTCTCAACTTTGGTCATGGGGATCTCATACACTGTTAGAGGCCACATCAGGTGGGGGATTAATCCAAACTGCAGGCACCACAGTTTCAACTTACCTGGGAGCAAGGTTCTCAGAGCAAGAGATGGAGCTTTATCTTCTATTCAGAGGTCCAAGCATTACTCAGATGCTTCATATCAAAACAAAAAGAAATATGTGTCATAAAAAATCCTGTGCAAGATATTAAAGAGCTTTGGCCTATCCCAGCATGCATTGGGCAATGGCTAGTTAAACCCTGGACATGTCACTCTATTACTGGGCTAATGTATAAAAGCCATTCAGGCCTGGTATTAACATCTGTCCTGGGTGATCTGATCACAAGTGACCCTTGTTAAGTTCAGGTCTGACCATACACTGCATATAAATAGTAAACTAGCTTCCGGCTCTAACAGATAAAGCCCATTCAGAAGTGCTTAAATGTGTAATACCGCGGAGATCCAACAGGGGCTGACTCAAGTTGGCTCCAAGAAATCTATGCCAATTTCTCCCATGAAATACTCAGTGAAAAAACTTTTCCCACAGATGATTACAGTCTCATTCAGGAGAAACACTCCTCATCAGTGATCTGGTCCATCGGAAAATAATTATATTGTAGTTAATTAGATTTTAGGTTTAGGGGCGTGTCGGTTTAATTGACACACAGACTCTCAGATGATTGACAGGCAGCAGCTTAGACTAGAGAAACCTGGAGCTTTAGTTGCATCTTGTTCACTCACTTCTCTGACATTTAATCTTGAGTCATGACTAGTCGCTGGAGAAGTTTTTTACACTTTTACTGTTAGTTTGTTTTAATTAGTTGTGAGTTCACCAGGATTAAAGCTTGCTTCAGTAACCAACACAGAGGAGCTGATATCCGGTTTGTTCAGTGAGTACTCTTTTTTTATTAACGTTTAACAGTCTTTATCTTCACATGTGTTCAATGTGCTACACAAAAGTTATTGTGTTTCTATGTTCTAGAGGAAACTGTTAGCTGGAAGCTTTGTAATGATGGCACTACCAGTTCCCTCAGGGCGTTGTGTAGTTATGTAATGAAGGTGTCAGATTGTACTGACTGTGTAGGAAAAACACCAAATAGTAAGTTTACTACATTAGATTCGTCAACAGGGGAAGGACCTCATGTGTGTTGCAGAATATTGTCATTGTTCACGCTGTGTAGGAGAAACTGGATCAACAACATGCTTCATTCTATAATGAGATGTGATGATGACATCAATAAACCACTGTCACAAGACAGCGTGTTATGCCCCATGATTATGTGGCCCTATTAGGACAGTTTAATTCCCCAGGACATAAGACTTTTAAACTCCTCCCATCTGCCATAATTCGTCCTCTCTGCACCTAATAATATTTGCACTACATTTTTAGGTGTATATTTATTATATTTAATGTTGGATTTATTGTTATTTTATATATACTATTTCATTCTTTATATTCTATTTGCTTTTGTTTTTTTCTGAGCATGGCTATAGGAGAGCCTGGGACACAAGCATTTAATTGCCAGCAACTTAAATTATTAGTAATTGTTGTGCATATGACAATAAACCCTTGAATCTTGAATCTTCAGTTCAGTTTCCTCTCATGAGATGTCAGTACAACAGAAGTTTGTGTTTGATTCTCTATATTCTGAGGTTCAGCTTCTTACCCTCTACCTGATCCTGCTTCTTTTAGCGGTGTTAGTATCACTGAACTGTTGTTATATATGTTTAAATGAATTAATATGTTGTTTGTACAAGCCTGTCTCCTACAAAGTGGCCTACAGTAATTCTGACCATGCATTATTTTTACATACAGCAGCGGCTTAGCTTGGGGACAGTTACAACATCAGCCGTGGCGAACCATCAGGTACAAGCAACCTTTACACACACTCACCATGTCAGTTCAAAGTCAACATAACCTTCGAACTGAGTTTTGATTGAATTATGTAAAAGGTCTGGGAACTATCCAAAAAAAACATCTCATCGATGAAGTAGCACTAACAAATATTTGCAACACATCTTCCAAGGTAAAGCACTTAAGGTTTCTGTTGACTGGATGCCTTCATTTGTATGAACATGTGTTTACTTGACTGCAGGACCGGAGGATGCACAGCTCCACAGCGCAGTGTCCCGAGGACGTGGGCTCATCTCTATTCGACACACATCCATGAGGGAAATGCACTCGTCAAACCAAACCTGTTGCAACGCACACACAAGAGCGTGGGTACGGCGTCGACGTGACGCAGAAGCATAAACTTTCAAGCCTAGTTTATGCCTTTTACGGGACCGAGGGGAGGAGCTGCTGACGCAACAAGTGGGCGATGGGCGTGGACCCGACTGGGCGTATTTAATGGAGCTGCGTCACAGTTACCGCTCAGGTAACACATGTGAGACAGAAGCTCCGGTGTTTCCACTAAAAACCATTGCGATCGCTATTCTTGTTGGGATGAATCTGTCCGGACCTGTGGATTATCAGTTTTCAACCAAAGCATGACCGCCCTCATCACAGTAAGTCTCATTTCTGCTCTTGAGCAGCGCAGTGCGCACAAGCAGCTGACGGATCTCTATCATCCGAACTTTTCTCCTCCCGTGTTGTTTGTTTCATTTCTCTCTTTCTCTCTTTTCTCTCATTTGTCGATCAGTGACGTGGCTGTGTAATGATTTGAAATGAAAGGTTCCCGACGCAGGGCTCTTGTCAGAAAGTCTCACTGCTCCGCCACATTCACTGAGGCTCAGGTGCGACATTCCTCGTCCTCTTCACAAAACACACAGATGTAGTTGACTCCGTCATTGAACACAAACAGTGGAGCTGCTCCTGCTCGGTGTTAATGGATAAGACGCAACCATCAACTTTGACGCTCAAGTTGTGAACCAGTTTGTCTTCCCGGAGCGTTTCTGCCTGACACTTGGATAATCCGAATCGCTCTTTAAAATGTCTATATTTAGATTTTTTAAATTCCGGAGTAGAACAGTGTATTTTTAATTGAATCTGCCTTTAATTCGGCGCAGTGGTTATCGGCCTAACAGTTTCCTTTAGTGGACGTTGTGAGTCAGAATCACCTGTTTGTTTGTGCGTAATTGGCGAGTGGAGGGGGCCACATAAAGTACCTCAGAGAGGTGGTGCTGTTTTGAGTGAATTAGATGGTGCCGATTTCAAGTTTGGCCCCTATAGCTTCAGAGGAGGTGTTGAATGTTTCTGTAGCGCTGTCTCATGTATCCTGGCACGTTCAAATATGATTAAATCCATTGTTTTTTAATAGAGTTCTGTGATCCTTAAGCGGTATGGAGCCTACTTTTTACTGTTGTCAGCTGTTGTAAACACATTTTATTTAATAATTGAGGCGTGTAAAGTAAAATGATTCCCTTGTGTGTTTCTGTACTTATATCTTTGTGTGGACCATTTACGCATAGACCCTACAGAGTGAGGACATTTTCACTGGTCCTCACTTTTCAAATGGCTGAGGCCATGAACTGGAAAATCCATGTGATCTTAGGGTAGGGCAGTGTGGTTCATGTTGGGCAACACTGGGTGTGGAATACAATCTGGTCTTTGTAAACTTGCCTTATTTGGTTATTCCTTCAACCTGTGCCAGGTATTTACTATTTTTGGGCTCCTTGCGTTTGTGCTGTTTTTCTCCTTCCACATGAGACCAGTAAGATTAAGCATTATTCCCTCAGTCAACAGGGTTTTTTTTTTCTCAGCACCACTTTATCAGACTGCCCCTCTTTGCTGAAGTCTGAGTCTAAGCATGACTTAGGAAATCACCTTGTCCAAACATCTCCACCCACTCATTGCCAAATGTCTGTGGCCTGATCTGAGCTGCATTTATGCTATTGGCTGAGCGGTTATATGAAATGTTTCGTCTCCTCACTATTAAACAAGGACATTCTTAGACAAACATGACTCAGAATTTTTCATTGTTGCAAAGTATTTGACTGAGTCAACAATTTTACAGCGTACAAGTTTTTTCCTTTTTTCCAGAACTGATGTTTTCATTTTAAACAAATATAAATTATTTACCCACAGGAAGAAAAAAAAGAGTAAAAATCTCCATTAAGCCATTTATGCCTTTTATATAAATGTACAAAATGACTATTCACCGTGGTGTTGTAAAAAAGTCCCATCTTTTTTATAATATTAACAAAGCAAAAAGAAATGGTTATGATTGCACATAATAATTATTTGTGGGATCAAGGATTCTAATTTATTTTCTTAAGTAACTTGTTTATTTTACAAAATGTCACAACAGTTGCACAAAACCCATCTGACTTTCCGAGAGTCTCATAATGATGCATCAGAAATTGCTCTTGAAAAAGTTATGGTAGAAGCAAATTATTTTATCATCAATCAGTCTGCTAGTAATTAAGATTTTATGGATTCATTGTTTTGCTCTATAAAATGGTCAGAGAAGTAAAACGATGCTTTTTCTATCGTCATCTGTCAGGTTTTTCGCCTGTTGGTCTTGCTCCTCTCATCCACGGGGGTATTTCCGCAGTCCCGCATTGACTTTGGAAGGAGGACCCAGCGAGATATCCTCTGCTCAGACAATCAGTACCTGAACGGCAACAACTGCTGCTTAAACTGTCCAGCTGGTAAGTCACAGCGTTGTATTTAATCCACTGAGACTGAAGTTCTGTCATCTGCTTGAATCAGAAATCCATCAGAGGAGCTATTATTTAACTGAAATGACAGGTTCTGTAATAATTAAAGAGATTTCTGTTTTTTGTGTGATAGGTACACATGTGAAATCACACTGCAGCAAATCAGGAGAGAAGGGGCAGTGTCAGGAATGCGACTACAGGACATACACTGCTCATCCCAATGAACTGAATCAGTGTTTCCCGTGCACACCGTGTCGTCCAGGTAATTCAGCTTGACAGCTCGACAATTTATTGGAATGACTGTAGAAGAAAAATCAATATTCAACCTTTTCAGAGCGCCCTCGGCATAAACTCAGACTTAACAAGGCAGTTTTCTTGCTTCCTCAGATCAGGAAATTGTAACGCCGTGTTCGACCACTCAAGATACTGAATGTCAGTGCAAAGCGGGAAGATTTTGTGATCCTCACCAAGCTTGTGAAGTATGCAAGAAATGTTCAAAGTGAGTCTATGCCGACCAAACAGCACACGACGGATGATTGATTCATTTGAGGTTAATTAAATGAGAAACTGATTTCTACTGTTACTAAGCCTGTCTCACTCATTTGTATTCCTTGTCTGCAATGTTTTCCCTACCTCCAAACTAGGTGTGAAAAGGACGAGGAGATAGAGCGGAACTGCACCTCTACCACCAACACAGAGTGCAAGAAAATCAAGCCCAACTCTGGCTCGGCCTCAGGTACATTCCTCAGTAGGAGCCAGTGCCATGTGAAAAGCTGTTCAAGCATTATGAAGACACCCGTCCTCGCTGGAGACAACGCTTACATTTTCTGGCACCAAAACTGTATCCCACATTTAATTTGAAAGTAGTTGATTTATCGTTTTTTTGTAGAAATTCACTATATAAAGCACAGTGATTTGGCAAGTCGTATTTATATAGCTGTTTTGTGCTAGCCATAGACATTAAGTTTGGTCCATTGTGCATCCACAAACTATATTAAAACCTGGCCATAATCTGAAGCTCTACAGAAAGAATAAATGGAATGAATATAGCAAACATGGCTCCATATACTGTAATAATCCTTTTCAATTTTTGTTTTATCTTTTTCAGGAAACAAAGACGTGATAGCTGTAGTCTTCCCGATTCTTGGCATAGTAGCAGTAGCAGTAGCAGTAGCAGGAGTAATCTTGTATAGGAGATACAGATCAACAGGTAGGTGGAAATAGAAAAGCAACACTACTTGTCTATAAAACATACTGAACTCATTTAAAATGTCCACTTCTAAAGTTTAGCTAATGGATTAACGGCATGATAGGAAACTGCTGTTCTTTGTGAATACATTGTTTTGTCACAAAAACTATTCAGGTAGTCATTTGAAGATGTCTGTATGTTTTCCATCAGCAGACACTAATTTGAACAATGACAGCAACATGTTAAGTTAAGTGATTTAAGATCTGATGAATGATTTAAAGAAACAGAAACATCTTTTCACTTTGCATGAATTATGTTGCTACCAGAGACAATAATATAATTTGCCACCTTTGAACAGAATATATATAAATATAGTATTTTATTCCCCTCATACTGTTCAGTGACACCCATAGCTAGACTTAAAATACTTGACAAACGCTCAGAGCTCTGCCAGTACATTTCTGTCTGTTATTGGCCATTATTTAAACCAGTACAAGTAGTGAGTACTTGACTGAAATGCATGTGATGAGCACTGATGTCAAAGCCTGCGTTTTTCTTGACACACGTCGACTTTGTTCACACCTCCTTGTCAAAACATTGCATGTTTTATTGCAGTCTGGGCACAGAAAGCAGCGTAACAGGTCTGCAAATGGCAGGTATGACGCTGTGTTTCAGCTGGTGATCTCACAGTGGCAGGTCTCCTCACAGATCAACGTATTAAAACACTGCTGATGATGTTGAATTAAGGCGTGGTAGGATAGAAGGGTAAACACCAAACCAATGCAGTAAGGTTGAACATTGTGTCATCCAGACCAAACACAAAACTGGACTGCGCTCAGTAGTTGACAGGTACAGGAGAATACCTTTCAACGTGAAGATGTTTTGCCCAGTCTCTGCTGTTTATCATGGGCTACACAGGCTGACCTGTGAAACCCCTGCTCTCACACCACTGACTGCACTCTGCACATTTTTGGCCTTTATTATTCAGTGTTGATTTACCCAGAGAAGTAAAATTCCAATCACGCATGAACCTGATGGGCTTGGTATGGGGAATTCCTTCAAGTTGTATAATCCTTTGCTCACTTGTTTTTTTCAGACTCTCAGAGTGATCTGCCAGAGGAGATTAAAGTTGTGCAGGTGAGTCACTAGTAAAACATTTAGTGTGACACTGTAGAATTTAATTTAACAAGCACGGAGTAGGGTTGGGCGATGACTTAAAATTTTCCAGTCGGCCACTGTCAGCCCAATAACTGGCAATTGACAATATATTCATGCTCTGTGTGCAAATAAACACGACATTTGTGTTCATGAAGACCAAGTGATGTTGTTTTTAGTCAGAGTTTACACATGTGTGTTATGACACTGGGTATCGACACAGGAGTGAGGAAATTTAAGAGAGTGGGTGGAATTACAATGCTGAATGAATGTGTGCAGTTATGGAGAAAGATTTTACTAATTTAAGAAAAGTATTGATCATTATGAAGTGCAGTGTTAAGAAAGTGGCTGTGTTTTAAAAACAAATTGGCATTGCACCAGTGGAGGAAGATGGAATTAATGTGGTTGCGTGTGTGTGTGTGTCTACACATATATATTTTTTTAAGTAATCTCTGAGGCAACCAAGTTGATTTCTAGTTTTATCAGATTCAATGTTTCGCCATCATTCAAAGAATAAAGATGAATGCAACAGCATGTACCTTATGTGAAGTTGTATATAAAAAAATAATAATTCTTTGAACATGATCCTCTCCAGTGTTCCACTGAGGAAAGGAGGAACAGAGAAACCCGAAGGCCAAGCGCCTCTAACTGTAAACTGGTGAGAGCCATATCCTCTGTCGCCACGGAGGATCAGCATAATGTGTATAAAAGCCTCAACAGCTCAGCCAGTAACTCGCAGCATAGTCTAACCGGCCTGCAAGCCGCCTTACCTGTAACCGCCGTCAGACCTGTGTTTGCCTGGACGCCCGTCAGTACGGTGAGAGCAGCAGCTCATCTCCATCATTGCTTCTATCCTGGCTTCTTCCCCTCTCAGCTGCTTCCTCCTCAACCTTCTTTTGACTCATGCTTTGCAGTGTCTGGCTACACTGGTCTGACATCTCCTCCTTCCAGTTTCCTCACTTTGTAACTTTGTGACACAAGTGCCTGAAATGTTGAATGATTTAGAAAAAATATTACACGCATACCTTCTATTCTTGCATGTAATTCTGTGCATTGTGGAGTCTCCTAATGCAGTTTGATCACACTCACTTTGGCAATGATGAATCCTGCACTGTTCATGAGATTAATACAAATTCAACAAGAGCTCAAACATGATCATGATCATCATTTTAATATGTCCACTCTGGCCAGCTTGATTTTCACAGAAATTGTACATTTTGTGATTCATAGAAAGAGGGTGAAGATCCTTAGTCTCCAGCTGCACCGAATGACAGAGGCTATAGCATTGGATCAATTCCAGGGACTTTCCTCCATTGTGCAGTCATTTTCACTGTAATTAATTAAAGTTTTAAGCAAACAACTGAAATCTGATTGTGTAAAGCATTTTGAAACATGCCCTCACTTGTTTTCATTGTGCTGTTCATAGTTGTTTTTGTAATGATAAGGGAGTCAATCAGTCACATGTTCTTAGTTTAAGATTAACATGAAATATCCTTATTGGCTTGTAGTCTTTCTATTCAAACCTGAAGTGCATTTTTCCATTGAGAAATCTGCCTGATAGTTGTTGGCATCATTGTCATCATCAGTATCCAAATTATAAAACACTGCATTTTAATTTCATCAAATGTTCACTTATCCTTATCCAGTTACTCATCCAGTAAATCTTGCAGCAAATCAGTAAAACATACTCACTATATCAGTAATAACAGCCGCTGCCCAACAGATCAATTAAAGCATGGTGGGCTAGCATCAAGTGTAGCCACCTTAGCTTTGAGGGAGGAGCGGAGCGTTGAAACCAGACAGGGACACTGAGGTGGCCACATTAGAGGAGACTCCCATTTACCAGACGGGGGCACCTCTGTTGGTTTGGTGAAAAATGCAGTAATATTTATTTCAGCTCATATCGCCCACCTCAACTTACTGGCCAAACGAAAAAAGTTTTTGATGCAGCTCAGTAGAGCAGGGAGCATGTGCCTTTTTGACTTCCATGTATTTATATTTTTATATCAGTTGTATTCACCAAGAGTTGCAATAGACTTATAGAGTATCAATAATTGTTTCCCTCTTTGTTTTCTTATAGGAAGAGGAGCACATACTCATTCCTGTGAATGGTGACGTTTGTTTTCATTACTTCTTAACCTTATGATACTCACTTCCACATTGATTAATGTTACTCACTGATACATTTTAGTTTAGAACTATAGATATTCAGCCTCATCATTAATTTCAATTAAAGATACTTTTGTCCCTCATCTGGTAATTTAAGCAGTAGCTGCTAAACACCATGTACTGGTGCATCTCAAAAAATCATGAAAAGGTTCAATATTTTTTTTATTATAGTTTAAATAATTATGGTAAACAGTTCAAGCAATAAAACAAAAGATATCTCAAAATATTGGAATATTTAATTTCGCATTTGAGTAAGTTACTATTTGTTGTGGAAAATCTGCTGATCAATGGTAAACTCAACCACCAGGAGATGAAAGTCTTGACATTTTTGTATTTCAAATCCATTTTGATTGATTTTAGGAAATATTCAAATATTTTGAGTCACTAGATTTCTGATTTTCAATGGCTGTAAGCTGTAATCATCAAGTTACTTGTCCATAATATTCTAATTTCTCAACCGCACACACAAAAGTGAAAATACAATTGTTAAAAAATCGTCAAGTCAGTCGTTGGGTGTTCATTAAAAAATTTTCTTCCAACAATGAATTGACACCAGACTGGGTTCAGGTGCTTGAATTAAGGACTTTATCTTTGTTTGCAGGTGAAGAGTCTCTGAAGAAATGCTTCGAGCTTTTTGAGGAAATTGAGTTCGACCAACACAAGAGATTCTTCCGTCACCTTGGGATCAGCGACAATGTGATTAAAAGCAAAGAGCTTGACCACTATGAAGACAAGATCCATGACCTGCTGAATATTTGGTTGGAGCAAGAGGGCAGAGAGGCCAGCCTGAACAAACTGCTGAAAGCATTACTTGACTTAAATCAAAGGCGAACCGCGGAGACGGTCAAGGAGAAAGCTATTGCCAATGGTCATTATTTCTCTGTGTGCCTATGAGAGGTCCAAGCATGAGAACTACTCATGTTGTGAGGTCCTTGCTGAGAGCTTCTGCTCCATCCAGTACTGGTTGGAGGAGCATTGTATAATCCAGAGTTGTGTTTTGGCCAGTAGTTAACCTATTCAGCCAAAAAAAATAAAAATAAACGGAATCATAAGGGATGTAGTGTCATGAATTGGCATTAGCTTGTGTGGACCTCTGCTTCTGTGATAACAGAGGTCATGACTAATGATGTGTCATTTCCTTTAAGGTGTGATGCCTTGTTGCCTTCTGCTGTGTAGTAGCTCCACTTCAGGTTACTACCCATAGTGTTCTGGAGAGCAATATTACTTGTTCAGCCAAAAAAGTGCTTTATGTCTTTCAAAGTCAGTATTCTACTGACGCAGCTGCTTCTGTCTTTCTAGTAAAGGCTACACTGCAGTCCAGAAGAGAAAATGCAGCTTCTTGTTTGTGATATTTGCCTTAATTCAAATGCTTATTTTCACTTTAAATACACTCCAAATGACTACTTGACTTCAGTTGTTTTTTTGGTCTGATATAAATTACTTTTTCACTCTATATGGAGTGTGGATGAAGTATTTCATGTATTTATATAAGTGCCTGCTGTCTTTCATGCCAGACTTTTTTTTACAGAAGCCAAAAGAAGATATGCTGTCATAGTTTTTGTGAGATGTTCATTGACATTATGATCTTATCATTTTATTTATTTGATTGTAATGTTCTCAGGAATTACTGCCTTTGTGGTTGCATTGAGCAACAGAACATGTGAAGTACAAATGAAATGTCTGGAGATGAATATGATTACTACAAGTACATATTATGATGGATAGAAGTTAAATGTATTAATATTTATTTACGATGTTGTCTGCTTGACTGTAACTTATACTTGTTGATTGCCACTGTTGGTTTACTAGCTGTGAGCAGCAGAAGTGTTTGTCTCTGGTCTGTGTTGTGTTTCTAGCCTGTTATTACGCCTGATCACAACTATGACATCAAATCCACAAGGGTTTATATTGGGTACCATGATATGCTTCATTATTGCATTAAGTGCCTTGCCCAAAAGTACTTAGGTGTTTTGGAGAATGTATTTTCTCTATCCTCAAGTTGCCCTTTATTAAGGAATGTGTGTGCCTCAATGATGTGATGGTTCTGTTTTGCACTGATCTGTATAGCTGGCAGAGAATTATTGTTTCCTTTATAGAGGGCAAATCACACCATTACACCATTGTGTGTTTGTTTTTGTCATTGTTCTCACATTTAGGTCATGTGATGTAGTTTCACTCAGACATTTGTATTCAGCATCTTAAGGTTTTTGCTTTTACAGAGTAGTTACAAGTTAATGAAATATCAAATGCACAAATTGAGCATGTGAGCAAAAACTAAACCTTCAGAAATAAAACAGTATGACTGTGTGAAAGTGTTCATTTTTTTCTAAAAAGTATTCTGTTAGACATATACATGTAGAATGTAAAAAAATATGAATTATTGAGGAAGCCATGCAAAAAAACTAATACAAGTTTTAATAAATAACTTGAAGTCATACATGAAGTCATGGCCAGGCATCATAAGATGAGCATTATCAGTTCAGCCAGTAGATGTATATGCATTATACTACAGATTTATATTTAATTAATTTGTGAATGCGATTACGTTCCTTAGAATCATTTTTGGTGGAACACAGTGATGTAAGACATTCAAAAATCTGTAGCCAGAAGCCAGATGGATGAACAGGGCCAGAAAGATTGGGGTATAGCAGCATCTCAGACATTTCTGAAAAAGAGAGCTTGATACATTTTGGCCAGTTTATCATCTACAGAATAGTGCATTCAATGAAATACTTGAAATTGTATAAGATTATACCTCACAAAAGTATGAGATGAGGAAACCAAGTCCCACAGCTTGTCAGAGATTATCTCACTTATATCCACCTCCAGTCCTAGGAAGGTTTTTACTCAGGTTTGGATGGATCAGCAGGAGCTGCTCTCAGATGTCAACACATGAGGGGAATTTACTGTGAACTGATCAAAGTCCAGAGCTCAACTTGTGTCGTAGTTCACACTGATAACTGGTTTGAGTCAGTGTGCTGTATATATAACTGGACCACACCCTTGTTATTACGAACCTGCCTTCAACAGTTCCAGTGTTCCCCTCAGATAACTGTAAAATAGATTCAATGAACATATACACTCTTGTTTTATGGTTTACAGCTTGAAACTAATGATCATTTCATTTAAAAGGAGCATCAGTTCTTTGATTTGCCTAGTTGAGCGGCTACCTTCATCTTAGTGTAGAATATAATAAAAGCTTGGTAGTAAAGTTGGCCTATCACTATTACTACAGTTCATTGTACTTAAAACAAATCCATCCTTTGTTATTTTTCAAACGATGAGCAATGGGGCTACTGCAAAAAACATCACTGTATTCATTGCAGCCATAATTGTTTAATGGAAGCTCTGTTCCATTTAACGATCTCAGTAAGACAATAAGCCGCCGTGCTCCCAAACTTAAATTACATGTACAGTTGCTGGAAAAAAGACTTTAATGTAATTACACTACTCCGCTCCCATCACTAGTGCTTCCATACCGTACTGTGAACAGATCGGGTCCAGTCTACATCCAGGACATGGTCAAACCTTACACCCCAGCCCGTCCACTCCGCTCTGCATCTGTCAGTCGGCTTGCTGCTCCCTCACTGCGAGCTAACCACCAAACAAAATCACAACAGTTTGCTGCCCTGGCTCCTTAATGGTGGAACGAGCTCCCCATTGACACCAGAACAGCAGAAAGTCTTCAGATCTTCTACCGCAGACTAAAGACACATTTCTTCTGACTACACCTTGGTGAAGAGGTTTGAGGTCTAATAACCAATTCAAACAACAAAAAAGTTTGTCTTTTTGAAGCAAATTGTACTTACTTGATTCTTGTTGTTCTGGGTTTGTTCCCTCATGGTTGATGCACATATTGTAAGTCACTTTAGATAAAAGTGTCAGCTAAATGTAATGTAATGATATGTAATGTAATTATAACTAATCGTCAAAATGGGTACAGATTTAACTTTTTGGTAGATTGACTAGTTGTACAGCTATAACCTGTCTGCTGACGAACTAAGGTATAAACACATGAGATGATTGAGTGTTAATTCTTGACCTTGGAAACAGTCAGGGTCATTAAATTGTTTGATAAAATGATTATATTTTTCTAATGTGACATGATAAGAAGACTTTGTTCACACCACGTGGAGCTGATTGCAGAGATAAGGATTTGAAAATACTGAGCACCTGAAAACCCAATTACTGGTACATTGGGGACTCCAATGAGCCACGAACTAAGACTCTCAGGATAGCTAACAACCCGCAGAGGTTCAATTTCTGAAACCTCCCATGAGTCAGTTAGAACTGGGGAGGCCTCTTGGATTAGACATGAAACATCTTCAAGAAATAAAAGCAAGTCTAGCTGCTGTACAGATCTGACATCTTCACAGATATAAAACTCAGCAGGGTTAAATTGGTCCAAAAACCCACTGAGCCCCACTAATATCTGGCTGTAGTCTGTAATGGCAATGGATTTATTGGATGTTCACTTCTGGGTCAAATGCAAAAGCTCTGATCGACAGTGAGAGAAAGGTGACACCCAGGTGAATGAGCTGATTTGACAAGACAGCAAGGTGAGAGACCTCCTCAGTTGGGGGGAAAAAGGTCAATTGCCTTTTTTAGCAGGTTTAAGTAACCCGCATACTCCCTTCTAATTTTGGTGTAAAAGAGGTATTAGAAATACAGTGTACTTTATAAGTAACACTGCTTCAAGTGTGTCTTTCATCACATTCAATTACATTGAACATGGTTGTTTGGTTTGCAGGCCCATTCCAGAGAAGCTCCATTTCAGACTGGATTGGAGATTTTAGAAGAGTTTCTGAGAACAAACTCACCAGCACAAAGGATACATCTTTCTCTGGGAATCAAATTAGAGCTTCAGGTGAGATTGTTTTTTCTTTCATACACAAGACGTGTTCTTCATCACTTTGACTCCTGCTGTTCTTCTGTCATGTGCCTGAATTTGTCTCATGGTGACCAGAGTGCTACTTACCAGCAGGAGCTCAGTAGGCCATAAGATCACTACAGAGCAGTTCTCTCTGTGCCACATCAAAACAAAGCTCTGCCCAGTGCTGTGCACTACATGTGCAGCTGCCTCATGTGCTGACAGTGACTCAGCAGGGGACATGTCGTATCCTGCCGAGTGTACAAACATTGGCACTGCTTGGAACATCCAAGGTTGAATGAATGGCCCTTTCTCTAAAAATAGAGTTCATCCCAGAGGTGCTGTGAGGGACTGGCATCACAGGATCATCAGGGTCTCATTTAGATGTTTTTCTAAAGTGTACATTCTACAGTCACTATTCACACTTCTCACTTGCTAATCATTTCTGTCTCGTTTTCTTCATTCTTTCATCCTTCATTCACTAAGTTGAAAAGCACTCTGCATTCACTGTTCATTTACTTTCATTACAAGAGCAATTTCCTTACATTACCATTCTGAATGTTGATGGGATTACTGTGTTCATCAATTCAGATACCAGCCCCATGGGTCAAAGCCAGAGCGGTTAATAGAAGTGTCACAGGCAACATTCAGCTAAATGATACCTCTGCTGTAACAAATCAGCTTTCTGACTCAAATGCATCAAAGGAATGCTAGCTGAGGACATGATTTAACATTCTGTCACAGCCGTGTAGTTACCAGTCAAATTAGCACTCAGGCTATGTGATGCGAGGTGTAGATCTATTAAAGATCTGAGAGCTCAGCTGCTCAGTGGCTGTGGTACACTTCGTTGTATACATCTTTATCACCAAGTATAAATGAAAACTTTCCCTTAAAAAAGAGACTTAAAAATGTCAGTCCACCACCTCAGTGAAGGAAAAAGCATATAACTGCAATTTGTGTTTACACGATATGGTTGTAAAATCAGAACTGAGGAATCTTATCAGCAAACCACACCTAACAAATTCTCACACTTCAAACATCTTCAAACAAAATACAAAGTTCAAACAACTAAAACATTCTTTTAAAATATGAATTCTTGAACTTGAGTTTTCTCTAAAACCACCTGATGTGTTAAATGACTTCAGAATGTGGTGCAACGAGGACAACAAATTTGAAGTTGCTCAACATCAAAGCTCTTCAATCATTTAGCTAGCGCCACTGTGAGACTACAAGACCCATTAATGATGAAAATTGATTTCTTCCTAAATACCTTCGGAATTATCATTGTGAAGTACATTTAATATGATTCTGGTTGTTATTCTAACATGGAGCCAATCAAAAAGTTGACAAATTTGATATTTACCTGGTTATTACTAACATCTTGTTAGTTAAGCGTGTTAGCATACAGACATTTGCTTAAAAAGTTGGCGTCTGATGGGAATGTCAATTTAACAGGACAAATGTACCAGATTTTGACTGGACAAGTAAACATAGATAGAGGATCATGAAAGTTGAATAATTATCTGTGAACCCAAAATGTCTCTACAAAGGTTTGTCCCAATTCATCCAGTATGTGACATGGACATTTCTGACCTTTTGTTTTGCTATAGGTGAAAAGTCAAAGATCAACAAACTTTTTGTCCAACATTTACATTTTTCTCTGTGGAACGCAACGGTTCCCCAACCAATCAGTAGATGTGCCATCAAAATTAACTAATTCAATCACTGCTTTTTGAAATAATGTTGAGGTTTGAAATTCCCTTGAAAACCTGTCAATGAAAGTGCAATCACTGAATCACTGTGTGACAGTACATATAAAGGACCTGTAGTAACTGCATTAAACTAAAAACATAATTTTCACTTGAAGTATTTTACTCAGATTTTAAGATTGCTAATGGAAATGATGTTGATATTGAGCATTTGGTCTTCAATCAGGAACCACTTTACTATCAAATGATCATGATAAATGTTTTAAATGCTTTGAGCCTTTTAGTGGATAGAAATGATTTAACCTTTCATACATTGGTTACTGTGCAACTGCTCCCATGAGCCTGCCAGCATGGCACTGTGCACTATTACAGCTTAAAGCAACTGTAACAGACAGAGACTCCTGCTGACTCATCATCTCAAAGAGAATAACAGAAAGATGTGTTTGATCCTGCACAAGCAAATTATCAGCAGAGTGTGGAAGGATGTTAACACTGATAATTGTCTGAGTCATACTTTTTCACAGATATTATATGATTCATTTTCATTGGAAGAACTGGATAACATCCCGAAATAAGATGGTTGAATTTGTCATCTATTTGTGCTTGTGGATATTCGGCAGGAAATTGTGAGAAACTGCTTTTACAACTTTTTTCTACAAATAATCACAGGATTTTCAATAGGAGTCCTTCATATAAATATTTACAGTATAAACATGCATTCAC